CGTATTTTTTTAAAATAAAAATTATGTCTATTAAAAGAAATAGAGAAATACAATAACTCTCGTAAAAATTACAAATGAATAGATATATAAATAAATAAATAAATAACAATGGGAGTTTGTTTGCATGAATGATAAGAGACTTGAAGCTTGCATAAACATGTTTCTTTACATATAACTATTTTTAGAATTACATTATGTTACTAGTACTTTTTAAGTATTAGTTGGCATATTAATACAAAATCTAATAATTTTCTTATTTTAGACTATCTTAAAAAAGATTATTTTATAGCCTTAATTAAGAATTTGATATTATTGATGTTTAAAAATTATGTTTTGAATTTGATCATAAATTTGGAACATTAATTTGATCATAAATTCAAAATATAATTTAAATTATGGTAAAATACATTTGAAAAATAGGAGAATATGATAAATAATCTGAGAAAAAATATATAAATTTTTTACTTTATAATAAGATATCTTTTAATGTTTTTTTTATAAATAATTGATTAAATAGTGTATCAATATGGTAAAGTATTTTAATCATAAATCTTCTCTAAGTATAAATAAGAAGCAAAGATAATAATAATGATAATAATAATGATAATGATAATAATAATTTTATTATAAAAATTAAAATACCTAATAAAAATTTCTAAATATGTAATATATTTATGAATAAATATAATATAGTTTTAAATTTAGAATATATGAATGAAATGTCAATAAATAAATGAAATTTATCTATTTATCTTTTTTAGAATAGTTAATAGTTTTGAACATTATTTTATAAAAATAATTATTTCTAAGATTTTTAGCTTAGGTATATTTAATAAAAAGAAATTATATAATTTTATTCCAATTTAAACCACAAAATCAATATGGTTTTTTTTTTCTTTAATTTCATTTAAATTCAAAATATACTAGAAAACAAAAAAAAGATTAAAAAAAATTGTGTTTATTTTTTTATCATTTATTTATTTGGTTTAAATTATATTGTCATATAGAGAAAAAAACTTAAGCAACAAGCTTTCTTTAAGAAACACTTGTACAATATTGTAGATATAAAATTCTCTGGTTATTAATTGTAAAATTATGCATACAAAAGTAATAAAATGATTTGAAACTTACATACAAAAAGTAAAAAAAAAAATTAAAGAGTAAAATTATTTATATGAAACAAGCTTATAATGTAGTTTAGGATGTTGGCTTAAACAATATATTTGATAAAATACACCAAAAATAGTTTAATTAATTTTAAAACTTTCTTATAAAATGACAGACTAAAACTTTATACACTTTAGAAGGATAATTTAATAATTCTTGGAATTTAAATTTTTGTTTAGCTAAAGTCCAAATTTCTTATTTGTATAATAACTTAAAAAAATAAAAATAAAAAATAAAGTTGTATGAAAGCATATTAAAAGACATAAGTTGTTTCTAACAAAGGCATCTATCTTTTTAAATTCAAATATTTAAAATAAAAATCTAAAAAGATAATATATTTAAAAAAAAATAGAGGCTTTTAAATAAGTAATATTATTTTTAGACTTACAAATTCCTAAAAACAAAAATAACTTATGTCTTGCTTGTAATGTTTTTAAGTTCTTTACATTGTCATATTTCATACAAGTTAACTTCTTTAACACATTTTAAACTTGTCTACAAATTAATATATTATTTTAGATATCATATTTTTACATCTAATTTAAATTAGTAATAAAATATGTAAAATATATGTTTTATAAAAACATACTCAACTATATATTAAATTAAATTTATGAAGATATGTTTTTATACTATTTTTATCTTAAATTTATTAATCTATTAAAATTCATATTTAAAATTTGATATTATTCAAATTTATAAATAAATTACATCTTTGTAATTTTAAAAAATAATTTTGATAGTCTTTGATAGAGTTTCTTGATGCTTTTTCAATGCTTTTTTTTTAGTTTGATAGTGTTTACTTGCTTGTAATTTTAATTTTAATCTTATAAAATCCACAAACAAATATAAATACTATAAATATAGGTGAATACAATTCAATTTTTTATTTCGGTCATTCATATATAGCAACTATGAAAAGATGATTTATAATAGTATCAAAAGTGTATATAAATACAATACTTTAGAAAGAATTATACACAATCTTTTTTAAGAGTTAATTTACTTTAATTAAATAAATTTATGAATAAAATATACGATTTATTGTATTTGAAAAATACTACTTATATATATTTTTTTTTATTTTAAAATGAATTGAAAAGGTTTTAGATGAGTTTAGTCATAATTATTATTTTTAGATCTTTATTAGGAGTTGCACAGCATAATTTGAAAAAGACAACTAAAACAGTCACAGGTTTTAATGATTAACATTAACATGTTCAACATTTTATAAATCAAAATTTGTTTTAAGATGTTTAAATGAAAAATGATTGTGAGATTAAAGAAACTCAACAATGTTTAGATGCATTTGATTAGTTGGAAGAAAAAAAATATAGTATGTAAAAGGTTATCTTGTTAGTTTTATCTCATACAGAATTTTATTAAACTTTTGAAAATCTTTTTGATGTTCAACTAATTAATAAACAACTGATTGATTGATTGAATTATATATATATATATATATATATACTCATTTATCTATTCCTTAGTTTTTTTCATAAACATGTGAAGATTTATTTAGTTATTATCATTATTTAATTTATGTATGTATGTAAGTATATAATGAATGGATACACAAACTGTATACCTTCACACTGAGCTGTGCTTTGTATGTTGAAGGGAACTGTTCGGCCCAGGATTTGATGCAGACGAAACAAGTAAATCGAAGCAGGCAATTAAGACATTGAAATAGATGCTTCAATGGTCAGATTCGGTGCCTCACTCACTCCCTATTTCCCTCACTTCCTCAAATGGCGATGGTGAGGAAGGAATGCAACCCAACAGGATTGCGTGCAACAAGGACAGTATCCTCTAAAGCTTGGTTCCAAATAATCTCGCAAATAATAATTTCGATGGTGGTAGCACACTCACTCAAAACCCAAGCTACATTGTGATAGAATGCCACACAATTTGCCACAATTCTCAGTTCGATGCTCTCCTGCTCACCATTCGATGCACCCTAATAATATAATATACACCGTGGGTTACACTCTAGTCCATGACTTTTCCCCGCCTAGCTCTTGCTCTTGATTTGTATTGTTCGCCCGCTCCGATTTGGTGGGGTGGTTCATGCCACGACTTCTGATTTCTCACTTCAAAACTGATCTTTGACTTCCCGGTTCTCATAAGACGCCTTTAATTGCTTTATTCTGGATCTTGGCGCAAGTCTCCCTCGGCTAGTGCTGATTCTCTATTTCATTACCGGGCACACTCTTTCTCTCTCACTTCACACTTGATTTTGATCATCACATCCAAAATAAACATCTCATTTTTTTTTTCATTATTTTCTCTTCTTTTCTTTTTTTCGCACGCCAAACTCACCACCACCACCACCACCATCTTGATGTCCCTAGGTAGCCTTGTCGTTGACTTTCTACTCACATACATTTTGGTTGATAATATATTTTAGTCCTAATTCGCTAAAATATAATAATTGATATCCTGATAAAAATCATTTTTTACAATGTAATCCTCTAATCTAGTTTTTATACACTTATTTTCTTACTACAAACCTCTAAATTAGTTTACCTTTTTTTTTTTTTTTTTTTTTTTTCACATTGTTGTTTTTATTGACATTCTTTTTGCAACCAAAAAACATTACACTTTTTATTCTATTCAATCTTTTTTTTTTTTTTTTTTTTTTTTTTTTTTAGTTTTTTTGAAAAATAACACCACCTATGACTGTAAAGTACATACCTGCTTTCAAGCCTTAACATAAAAAACCATTTCCAACTACACACTGAACAAAGTAGCATTACAAATAGAACAAAATAAAGCAGACTAATTGAGGTAAGTACAATGGGGAAGTGGAATGACATTATTATTTTTTTGCACAATTGATTGGGGTATTTAGAATGAGAGTGATCTATTGATGTCACGGTGACAAAAAGATAAATGATTAGTGCTGTAAAGCATAACACAATCATACTTCATATTTTGAGCAACACAATTAATATTCAGTATGGTGATTGTGTTCATATTTTGAAGAAGCATACTATGGTTTTTAACTATCCATGTTTGTGGAATGAAGTATAATTGTGTTATTCTTTATATATTAGGGTACCCTATCTCTAAAAGAAGATCTGGGAGTGGATTCCGGATCCACCCGGGGATTCTTTGTGGAGCCTAGTCCAGCTCTGTAGTCTGCAGGTGCAGGCTCCGATCAGAGTGTTAAACGGGCATCATATCTGCCCACGATGATGCAGTCAAACAGGACATAGGAATGAGCATCCCCTGCAACAGCATAATCTCATATGTGTGTGTGAGAGAGAGAGAGAGAGAGAGAGAGAGAGAATGCATACCCAAGATGAAGAATCACTACGGTTTAAACCAGATATATATAGCATGGCCCTTGAAGCCAAGTTCATAGGGGGGAAGAAAAGGCAAAGGAGGAGGAGGAGGGCATAGCAGCAGCAGCAGCACCATTTGACACTGTGAGTGAGTGAGTGAAAGAGGGAGTGATGGTGGAGCACAAACAAACAGTGTGAGAGAACAGTGAGAGGATTCCCATCCCGAAGCGAAGCGACATCCATCCAACTCCGCCCCTCCCTCCCTCGTTCATGAATCCCTGGGATGGCTGGATGGATGGATGGATGGATGGCGTCCTCATGGCAAGTACCACTCCCACACCCGCCCCCCGCGGCTGGATCATCTAGCTCGCGTAAGACACGTTGTCTCGTGGCAGACCAGCCTTCACTTTGCACTTTGCACTTCACTTGGTCCCGGCTACTCGCCAGGTTTGCAGTTTTGATTGAACCCCAATTTCCGAACGCTCTCGACACCTCGCATGCTGGATTTTTTTCTGCCCTCAGCCTATCTTCCAGTACCCTACTTGGCCCTCCTCCTGAAGATCCTGCTAGTCCAAGCAATTCCTCCTTTTTGAACTGGCTGCAAGGCATTCTTCTCGCAGGATTTCGGAGACCAAGTTGTAGGCCAGGTCGACAGCGTCTCTTGTGTTTCCCACTTAACGCACCTGGTGATAGTCCTGGTATCTTTCCCAATTTCATCATCCGTATGCAACGTTATTGCATTCGCATTGTAGCTTGCCCTTATGGAGAGAGGGTGTAGTCTGCGTGAGAGTTTGTGTAGAGGCGTTGGGATCGAGAGGAGTACCGCTTAGGTTTCTGTTCAATGATTTTGTTCTTTCCTTCCCTTTCTCTGCATATTTAGTGCATATTTTCTTTTTCTTTTTTACACATGTTTTTCTTTTGTAGAAGAGAATGTGTTGGTGCAGGTGGAAATTGAACTGGCTAGGATTAGCTTGTGAGAGTCTTGCTTGTTGCTATTGGGGAGTTCTTCTGGTTTTCCAATTTGGATAGATAATCATGTGAATTGGTGGTCAGGTTGGGCGTATAGCGTGAAGCAATTGACGTTCTGTAGTGATAACTAGCGGAGTGATCATCCATGGCGACAGCCTGCAACTTAGCAGGAGTGGCCAAGGTTCCGGCGGCTCTAGGTCTCTCCACTTCCCTTTCTAGGAAGAGGGTGGAGTCCTCGTCGACGTCTCTGAGGGTTTCTACTCGGCAGAGGGGAGGGAGACGAGCGTGCGAGCCTGCCCGGTGCGACGCCACTCATCCAGCGGAAGATCATGTTGAGCAGGTCGACACGAGGGAGTTTCGCAGGACGTTGTCCAGGGGAAAAAATTACAATAGGAATGGATATGGGTACAAAAAGGAGATGCTTGAGCAGATGGATGTGGAGTATACCAGTAAGTTTCTGTTATCTCCAGAGGAATTTCCGTATTGGGACAACCTTAACATTAACATTTACAATACTGATATTATTGTTGTTGTTGTTGTTGTTGTTGTTGTTATTATTATTATTATTATTATTATTGTTGTTGTCGTCATCTTTTTAAAGTCTAGAATGCGAAGAAGTGAATGCAGTTAAACAATAGCCAACAATGTGATGTCTCTGGCACAAGTTTTATTCGTCATGATGGTGGGGTCTGTCTTCGTGACTACAATTTGGTCACTTGTTGAAAACTTCTGAGACACTTTCTTATCGGAGTTCAGGCGACTTGGTGAAGACGCTGAAGGAGAACAACTTCGAGTATACATGGGGGAATGTGACCGTGAAGCTGGCTAATTCTTTTGGTTTTTGTTGGGGAGTCGAGAGGGCTGTACAAATCGCCTACGAGGCTCGCAAGCAGTTTCCGGAGCAACAGCTATGGCTTACTAATGAGATAATACACAATCCTACTGTTAACCAGGTTGGAATGTGTTATTTGGCGCTGGATGGAGTATGATTGTTGACTTCGAGAGAAGAGATTTTTAGTCGCCCAAAACATGTGGCTCTCTTCTATGATGCCACAGCATTTGCAATTCAGCTCAGAATGGAAACACCGTGGTGCAGAAGCTTGCACGTTTGTTTTCAAACCATATTTCTACTTTTGGGTGGTACGCTTACTAATCCAGGTGAATAATCTTTGATTGCTGCGAGCAGAGGATGACCGATATGGAAATAAAAGAATTGTCCGTTACAGAGAATGGAAAGGATTTCTCACCCGTAGAGAAAGGTGATGTTGTTATCCTGCCAGCATTTGGTGCTTCCCTTCAGGAAATGCAGATTCTTGACGAAAAGAAGGTGCAAATTGTAGACACGACCTGCCCGTGGGTGTCTAAGGTAACTGGAAATCCTGTCACGAGTTTCTTTGTTTTGGATCTTCTTCTTCTTTTTCTTCTTCTTTTATTAAGTTTTGAAATTTGTTCTTTTTTTTATTTTTTATTTTAATGTCTGTTATTGTACGACATCTGCTGTATACCAGTGGAATTGTGGATTTGCATCTGCGAAAAATACATCAAATCTGTGTTTTTCCTGAAATAGGTCTGGAACACTGTGGAGAAGCATAGGAAGAACATCTACACATCTGTAATCCATGGGAAGTATGCCCACGAGGAGACGGTTGCTACTGCCTCGTTTGCCGGAAAATACATCATTGCCAAGAATATCAAGGAGGTAGATAAGATTTAATGCCAAACAAAGTGTCTTTTAAAACATGTATTAATTCCTTCGATTTGTTGTGACAAGTGACACCCAGACTTTTCTGTGCTTTAAAGTGAATTCGTACTAATGAATTTTAGCGTCTTGCAGGCCACTTATATTTGCGATTATATCTTGGGAGGAAAGCTGGATGGCTCCAGTGGAACAAAAGAAGAATTTCTTGAAGTATGTCTTTGCAGTTGCTTTGTGGGAAAATTCCTTTAGCTGCTTTAGTTCTTGTTTTGGTATTTTGTACTGTAATTGGTAGAGCTGAGGCATATCAGATGATTTGAAATGTCTTATGTCGGAAACGGTTTGTGCACCAGAAATTCAAATACGCTATCTCTAAGGCCTTTGATCCGGATCGTGATTTGGAGAAAGTTGGAATCGCTAATCAGACCACTATGCTGAAAGGAGAGACTGAAGAAATTGGTAAACATCGTCCCTGTCCTGAGCTATTTCTTGTACCTGCTGGGTTCTCTTTGAAGTGTACTAGCATTTTTTAAGCATGAATTTGTTTATTTATTATTTATTATTTATTTTTCTCCTAACCCTTAATGATAACAAATTCTTGGAGTTCTTGGTATTCTTTTGTGGAATCTCTCCAAAACTCCTGAGTTGGTTGTCGTGTCAAATCCGTCGACGGGTGTTTAGGGTGTCAAATAAAAAAAAACTGTTTGGGTCTGGTATTAATAAACAGGGAAGCTATTGGAGAGGACTATGATGCAAAAGTATGGGGTGGAGAATGCTACTGATCATTTCATGAGCTTTAACACCATTTGCGACGCAACTCAGGTTAGTGGCTTCTACGCTGATGATAGTGAAGCGGACCTAAATAGATTGAATCTGATTGAGACGAAGGGCTGATGAATAGACTAGTCAAGTTACCCAGTGATAGAATGAGAATTTATTAATGTTAATTCCACTGATTTTCCTCAATCATGACCTAAGACCATCTTCATTTCTTTTTTGATTTCTCAAATATACCTGCATCTATCATTTACCTCGAACTGCTGCAACGATGCTTGGTTCTCTGTCCCTGCAATGGATAGTGTTGTGAAGTCGTTTTGGGCCATCTTTCTCTCTCTCTCTCTCTCTCTTTTTTATTTTTTTATTTTTATTTTTTATTTTGTTTGTTTGTTTTTGTTTTGTTTTGTTTTGTTTTGTTTTTTTTTGTTTTTTTTTTTTTTTTTTTTCCTTCCGACAAGGTGCTTCTCGGTTGGCAGGAACGGCAAGATGCCATGTACAAGCTTGTTGACGACAAGGTAGATTTGGTCCTGGTGGTGGGTGGTTGGAACTCTAGTAACACTTCTCATTTGCAAGAAATCGCCGAACTCAAGAGCATCCCTTCCTACTGGATAGATACACCGGAGCGCATGCTTTCTGGGAAAAGAATTGCCTTCAAGCTGAATGTAAGAAATTTGTGACCTGGTTGATATTCCCTTTAACTGAAGACATTGAATCAGTAGAAGAATTTTATTTCAGCCATTTGACGATGCTCAGCTAATTCTTTCATATCAGATTCGGTTGTACGATCTTTGAGTAGGAGAGGTCGCCTTTTGTTTTGTATTGTTTTGTTTGCTTGACTTTCTGTTTTTCTTCCCTTATTGCTGCAGCCTTCTTTTTGCCTTGAGCGATTCAGGGTTTTACTCTGCCTGGATAGCATGAAATTCTTCTTTTCTCGAGAATTTTACTTAACATATAGTTTCCGTGCAGCATGGTGAGTATGTAGAGAAGGATAACTGGCTGCCCGAGGGACCTATTACAGTTGGTATCACTTCCGGTGCTTCCACTCCCGACAAGGTGCTAATCGCCACTGCTGATTGCTCTCATGTGTTTAACAAATTTCTTTGATTTCTTTGTGAAAGATTTCTTTATCACATCTTACAGTTGGTTCAATTAATATTACTTTTTTCTCATGTGTTCCCTTGGCAATCGATGAACAGGTAGTAGAGGATGTGTTGAAGCGTCTGTTCCAGTTCAAGCGTGAGGAGGTACTTGCCTTGCTTTGAGTTGCGTGATAAGATGGCATGTCCTAGTCTTATTCTTCCTTCACTCTGGTGCTTATCGATGTCTTCCAGTCGTGTAGTTTTGAACCTCTATTTCTCACCTGGGATCTCCTCCGCGATGGGTGTCGATCTATTTACAAAATAGTTGACGGTTTCTTTGTAACATTGGTGTAAAGTATCTTCAGACAACTGCAACTTGATGTTCGTCCAAGATACTGATGGAGCACATTGAAGAGCTCATAGGGGATTATTGAGTAAATTCATGTTGATTTGTTAGGGTTTCTAGTCCTGTTAACATATTTCCAAGGAATACATTTCGAACCTTCATGATCTAAAAATTATGCGCAGTTGACGTATTAGTAAAAATATATTCTGCTAAGATGCCACATGGACTACATTTTGTGCTTTGCTCAATCAAATACTTGACGTCTCCGAACCTCTTCGAAGACGAGCGTCCGATTTTTCTGATCTAAGGATTTGTATTTTGACACAGTGAAGTCTTTAGTTTTAATGGATTGTGAGTTAACATCAATAGTTGATTCTGCGTATCCTGCTACCTTCCGAACCAAATACATAGTGAGGAATGCTTCATCACGCATCATTCGCATCTGCAATCTCCAGGAAGACATTCGCATCGAAATTACGTGGTTTAGCGACAAAAATAAAACCAAATCCAATATTGAGCCAAGATATTTGCACAGTAGATTTTGTTTTTCTTCTACCAGCCCATTGAAGCCTAGCAACGATGCTGGTTACCGCTTTGTGAGCTGCTACGTTCTGCAGCTGATTGGCAGGATTTCTCGTACTTGTGAGGAACCGCTAGAAAGCCGCCACAAAGAGATATTACATTCACAAACAGAAGTGAATCTCTTTTTCTCTCTTTCCGACTCCTCCGTAGCTCCATCTGGATCAGGCTTGTGAGAAAATCTCCACTAAATGTGGATACTCAATTCATTGAGTCGGTAGTATTTGTGTACATAATCATTAAGTGCAGAGAATGTTTTCGAATGTGACGGTTCTAGCTGCCCACTTTCAAGAGCTTCAGAATGCGAAGGAAAAAACCTTCTGATGCACCATCGAGTGCAGTCGGAACCGTGACCCGCTTTCATGGTCACACTTGGAATCCTCACCTACTGCATGCATTCAAGAAATTCGTTTTCTTTCCATCGCCGAGTAGCTGAAATACAGCCAGACCAGCAATCATAAAGGTAGACAATATCCAAAGGGAGTCTAAGGTTAAGAAAGAATTCTGGGCCCTGGAATATCACAAATTGATAAATTAGTGTTAATGGAAGAGTTGATGGACCACTTCCAGTCAACTGCGGTCTTATTCTGGTGGAGAAGCCCACTTGCAAGGAGGTAGGGCCCATGGAAGTCTCCAAGAGGAGGAAATTGGCTAAACCAGAGGTGCGATGGGAGGGAGTATTTGCTGCAGCTTATCATGTAGCGACTGCCAGTGGAGTGGGTTGGTCCAACACCCATTAACTCCCACCTGCATAAACACATGAGAGAAGGAGGGGAAGAGGGCAGAAGGGGTGACTTTTCCAAGCATACATGCACACAGATTTAGGCCAGACACGTAGGGTTGACAACGTGCAACTGATGCTTTTTATGAGCTAATTCATAACTAGTCCTGCCATGTACGACTATGGATGGTACGGTTCTTCCGCTCTTCCGAAGAGCGAGCCGAGGATGTCTCAGAGCTTAACTGAGCGTCTCTTCAAGTTTCGAGCGTCTCTTCAATCTATTTGCCGCCATCATACAAAATCTCATCTTCATTTCTGATGAGCTATAATCTTGCAACTCTTCAATTGTATTCCGTGGGACTGCTAATGGACGCAACCAACTCTACTTCGCTTATAGACCTATTATTATACGACTCGTCGAATCAGCTGAATACAATCTGATAATCTGCTAGTTATTCATCCTGTTTACGTAGTCTAAGACCTGAAATTAATGAGGCGACGCTGGCCAACTTTCACATAAAACACACATAAACTCGTATGTAAATATATGTGTGTAATTATAATTTTTATAATGTATTTAAATAAATAAATAAATAAATAAATCTATATATCAATATATATATATATATATATATATATGTATGCATGAACTTAGATCTTGTGGAGGGATCTGGTAAAAAGAGCAAAGTCAGCGGCAGCTTCGGTGAAAAGCCTTAGTACTATTTTGCTTAAAACCAGCTCAAACATACCTGATTTCCCATTACCGAAGTGGCACAACAAGGTAGGAGATACGGCTTTTGGAATGTAGCTGGATAAGTTTTCATATTCAAGTTATAATAATAATAATAATAATCATCATCATCATCATGTCAATAACAAGTACCACGAAGTTCGGTTTTTTCCTTTCGTTTGAATTAATGTAAGAATTGGATTAACTTAGATTTTCCGTATGTGGGCTGAGGTGGATTCCGGTGAAAAGCGAACCTCGTGACAATACCCTCAGTCATTAAACAATGCCAACGCCTCATTTCGCGGGAGCTGATCTTAATAGCCTCTTCTTCATCAGTGTGCCTGACAACTCATGCTGCATCACTGGACAGTGCGCCCTCCATACTTGCTGCTCTTCACAGCCCTCTTCCTCGTCACTGTGCTTAATATCTCATACTGCACCACAGGGGTCCCCTCATTCTCCACAATTCATGCTCTTGTTGCCTCCTTCTCTGGTCGCACATCTAGCCACTCTTCAACGTGGGCTGAGATTTGGCTCCGAGTATTTCTCTCTAGTGTGTAAGTGCGCTGCTGTGCACAAAAATCCTTCAGTGCAATTCTAACAATCTGTGCCTGCATTTCGACAATAGGGTCTCCTGCAGACAACTCCGAGATGTACCGGGGAGGCCACAGGTATTGCCCCAGATCCGTGCCTTCCATGAGTGCTCCCTTCTCTGCACGCGTGCAAGCCCCGGTTGTCTCAGGAAACATCCCCAGGGGTCACCATAAACCGGAGTAAATGTAGCCGCGTCCTCGATTTTCCTGCAAGTTTGGAAGATTGTACGTTATGATCAACCTGAGAGTGCGACATCGTCACCACTGGAGGTGGTAGCGCTGCGTTTTCGAACCTGCTGAACTGAGCCTCGAACATCGCGGGGGCTTCACAGCTGGCATCGAGAAATTACAATGTCCAGAATCGACCGATCGGTGGAGCTTGACCGATCTGCAGTGCTACTCTCAAGATGCTGGGAATTGCAATCGACGGCAAAGCCTAGAACGGCGGATACCAAAGCATCGCCTGTGAGAGCTCCTCCCCATGTTCGTTTGGACTTTATGAGCCTGCAGCGGTCTTCTAAAACGTCGACACCACCCGACGGGTTCGAGCCCCAGGCTGACGGGGTTCTGAAGCTCTCCGCGCTGTACCTGGCCGAGAAGCTCTTCAAGAAGCTGAACAAGCTGCGGAAGCGATCTGTGTTCCCAGGAGGATGTCCAACCATTAAGGACCAACACCGCAAGGGGCGGCATTCTCTTGAGAGAAATGTGGAGAGGCGCAGCAGCTACGAAGATGCGGAATCTGAGCTCAGCGCAGATATTGTGAGCACTGGCAGTGTCACACCGACATCGTCTTCGAGGATTAGTTCTTCATCGTTGGAGTCGCTGGTGACGACAGACAGTGTAATTTCAAGCGTCGCACCAGGTTCCGCCTCCCACACACCGGGCTCCCAAGTAATGGCGAACATGCTGCTCGCTTTCATAGCTGCTTTGAACGACGACGAAGATATTGAATTCGAGGACATGGCAGACTTGGAAGCTGACGAGTATCTGTTTGATGGGCCCCGGGAATCAGCTTGGCATCAGCCTAGCGAGCTGCATGAGTTGTTGACAAAGCAAGAGTGGCGGATGATACGCTACGGTCATGTGCAAGGAAAATCAAGCACCGGCAGCGTCGTCAGCCAGATCTCCAAAACGGCCTCCACAGGCACTGATTACAATCGGCCACAAATATTTCTTGACAGCAGGAACCAACACGAAGAATTCAAGCCATGGAACCTTCCTCCCTCGTCTGGATCAGTGCTGCGAGAACCGAAACATGTAGGTGTGTGTGAAAAAGCACTTAATTTTTCCAGCCTGCAACTTTCAGATATGCACATAATTTTTCTAGGAACATTTGCCTGAGTGCCTCCGGAATTCAATCGTAAATGAGAAGCGTCTTGGATTTTTATTCAATTCTCGGTCTGAGTCAAGAACTGAATGGTGGTACACTGGTGCAGGAATGATTTGTATCTGGACTGCCAGTGGGTTCAAGAACAGTTGCGCCCTCATCTGGAGGCTTCTGTGGTTGAAGTTTATGAATTCGATCCCACCGCTAGTGATAGTTAACTGAAGAATTGGTAGCATCTAGCATTTGTTTCGCGATGAATTCATGTTTGTGTTCAATTCTCGTACATTGTTGCACTGCAACATCTAGGAATTCCACATATATGTTGTTGTTGTTGTCAGACTCTACCTACGAGGATATTCGGTATAGAATAATTGCAGAGAACTGTCTCTGTATCCAAGAGTGTTCCCGGTTTCCTAGAAGTGTTGTGTTACCTTGACATCAGTGATATCGCTGTGTCGGTGGTTTATTGTAAGTTTGAATTTGTTTGAATTTTTTTGTTGAAGTCTTGCTTCACAGCTAAAATGCGGCTTCAATTTCAACATGGCTTTCTACTACATTCGTAAGGAGAATTTGGAACTCACGAATCTTCCGGTTGAATGCATGTTTCAATCTCCCTTGCTGCAACGACTTAGAACAATCTGATAAAGTACTGACCCATCTCACAGACCGCCATACACGTTCCGTTGCCTGGCCTACCAGCCTCCTCAGTAGGAACATTTTTTAGCTTTAAAGGGACACCCAAACCAGCCCCCTCCTCCCGATTATCCCACTAACTCCCAACCGCGTCTTCACACAACCAAAACCATTTTTCTCTGGAACCGGAAGAACCTGCCCCATCGTCACGATATTTCCGAACGAGACAATCATGCAAATCAACAACGATCCCGAAAGCGCGCGGTAAAGCACTTGCCATAAAACAAGAGACTCTCGTAAACGACACCTAATGAGAACAGCTGGGTTCGTTCCTGCAACTGATGGTGGCATTGATCACCTCCGTATCGCTGAATCACAACACCGTGTGGAAACGAAAATAGGAGTGGGACAGTAATGGTAGATCGTCGGGTGAGAGGAGGCGTGATGGAGTGCGTGTCCTCCACCATTGCCTTCGCCGCTGGCCGACCTTGTTCTACAAAGGTTCTCACCGCCCATGGGCTAGGCTAGGATGGCCGAGAAGAGGCTCATCAAATCTCACCCACCACCCTGGTGCCTCCATCACAGTCCCCATGTTCAGCCACTCTCATCCCCATCCCTCTCCCCACCTTTTGCTGCTCCTTGGCATCATCAACTCATCCATTATCTAACTCCTGAACCTATTCACTCCCTGGCACAGGGCCCCACTCCCCATGCCTCCACAACCATGGCTTCTCCTGAGCAAGCAAGTCTCCTGGTTTCTTCTTCCACAGGTCAGGAGAAATGCCCTGGTCACACCTTACCCCCTCTGTCACCTAAGAGCTCCCCCAGTTTGACCTATGCTTGAACACAGAACACTGATGATACCAATAATGATATGGGTTGCCTTGTGCTCCATGGGGCTATCCATGGGGCTACCCATGCGATAAAACAAGAAGCTACTGATGTGTTTCAGCTCCCCACTTGTTTTCTTCTTTTGGTGAAGGTGATGGTTGGAATGGTACACCCTCCTGTGTGGCTTATGGCTGGCAGCAATGTATGCAAGAAGCTTGCCAAACTCCCTTTCAACTGAATGAGAAAAGTACCTCCAGGGAGTGTGGCATTAGGTGTTGGTCTGACCTTCATTGAATGATCCCACATTCCCTTTCTCTGGGAGTCCCTGAGAGCCTCAGCACCCAACCTGAAGTGCTCAAATGTTGGTGTCTGAAATGAGGTGGCCCCCAGTTATTTTCTTAATTTTGACATCATTGCTCAAAGGTCGCCCCTGGTTAACTAGTATGTTCTGAAACAGAACAAAAAGGATGCATTGGAAGTGGCCCCTCATTAATTAGTATGTTCTAAAACAGAACAAAAAGGAAGCATTGGAAGTGGCCCCCAGTTATTGAATGTACTGTGTAACAGAACAAGGAGCATCCGTGAAAACTGCAGCATCATCAAACTTAAGGGGTTTTACTGTAGAAAAATAGGGGTCTTTATGGCGATAGAGAGGGGTATTCCTACGAACCAAGGAGCATGGCTTCACCAACTGAAGAAGGACCAGTGAGGGAGAGGGCACAATATTGAAGGCCAAGGAAATAGAGAGCAGGGAGCCACTTTATTTCACACACCACCATTTGAGCATGTTGTTGTGTTGTGGTTCGGCTACCATGTGAAAATATTGTGTTTATATGTTTGATATACAATTTACTAAGTAACATGGTAAGAGTCATGTTAGTGGATTTTAAATTTGTTGTAGAATGTAGTTAGATTACTATTTTAAAAGGAGGTTGTTTAAAAGAACTATTATTGGAATTTACATAACTTTATTTTCTTTTGATAGTGGCTTTTAAGATTGATTTTGGTTGATAGTAACTTTTACATATTTAAAGTCACTTGTGTTAGACATTGGTGACCATTGAAGTCTTATTTGTTTCTTTTATTTGGTGTTTAGGACATATATTATATAAATCTTATTAGAAAAAAGATTAAAGAGAGATTTTGGTAGCAAAAAGAAAAATTAAGGCATCCATATGGATGAATGGAGATGGATGATAAAAATCTCTATTCCTATTGGCCAAAAGGCATGTCAAATAGACTTCAAGGAGGTTGTCCAAGGCCTTATTAAGGATTAGGATTACTTTTTTGAAGCATTCAAATTTTTGAGGCTAAGATCAATAAGTTTAGGTTTTTGGCTATGATTTTGGAATAAATTTTGTGTGATTTGGAGTTTATATGAAAGAGATATAGATGCTCAAAGTTAAGGTAATGATTTTGTATCTACTGTCACTCTTTTGAACTTAATACATGCATACAAAAAAAAAATTAAGGATCGGTGATTGGAGTTAAAGAGAGCACTTTCTTGGCAACACTTTTTGCATATTGCTTAATGAATTCCAAGTTGGAATGAAGGAGATATTAGAAGTTGAAGTCAACACTTCAAATCTAAGAATAGAAAGTGACCCAATTCTTTAGTAGTTGTATTTTGAACTATATCTTGAACAATTTGATGAGATCTTGGCTCAAAATTTCTAAAAATGTATATAATCATGTTTTTAAACTATATGTATAATTATTTTGCTATTTTAGTTTTGGATTTTCAAGATATAAAGAAAATAGTACTTAGATGCTTGTAGATTAGTGTTTAGAGTACTTGCTAGGATTTCTAAGATGTCAGAAGATCAGTATTAAATTTATAATTCATTTTTTTGTATTAAAGCTTAAAAATAAGTGCTATACTATTTAAAAATTTTAAAGAAATTAAAAAATTTGATAAAAAGTTATGAATTTCTAAAATTTGAGAAGGAAAAATATTTTGTAGGAAAAATATGTTTTGAAGGATTTTGCTATAATTTCGGCATTTTATATAAAGTGAAGAGGTTTTGGAAGAGAAGAATTTATATATAAGTTAAAGGTAGAATAAAATACTTATTGGAGCTTAGCTAATGAATTAAAACTAAATTCCCTACAACTAAATACCTCATATATTTTTAGATTGCCAATTACGTCATATGACAATGTCAAGTTGGATGCTGAGACTCTCAAGGATTGCTAGTGAATGTGAGATCATTCAATAGAGGTCAGACCAACACCTAATACCACACTCCTTGGAATACTTTTTTAGGAAAAAAACATGAGTCAAAGTTCTGAAGGAAATTTAAGAGAAAAGTATTGCTTTGCTTTCTTGAACATACAAATTATGTTAGTATGTTTTTGGTTGATAAGGATGTTAATTGTTCATTTGTGCTATATTTCCTTTAAACAACAAGACTATTTTTTCTTTATAAAGAATTATAATTGGTCAATTTTCATAGAAATCATTTTGATACTTTTAAGAATTTTGTCTTAGAGAATTTGACTTCTCTCTGTCAATACACAAAATGGTGAATAACTATGAGGAAGCAAGGAGGGTAGCTCTAACCTTTGGTCTTGTTATGAATTTAGGATGCATTAAACAAACAAAGGTCAAATTAGAAGAAGAAATTATTTTTTTATTAAAATTTTTCTATTGAAGATTGTTACATTACATTCTTATTGAGTTACATTTATATATGATTTTTATTTCCATGTATGTAGTAACTCCTAATTTTATCATTTTCTTATCTCATACTTATCATTTCTTTCTAAGCTACTATGAATATATATATATTTTTTATATATATTTTGGATCAATATAATAACTCATAGTTGACTTAACTAAACTAAAATTGCTTTCATAACATCCAACTCTCTCCCTCAACCTTGATTTTTCCTCTTTCAAAATGTTGCTTGTTTCTTCTTACATAATTTCTATTGATACTATGGCTCATCTTCAAACATTTTCATTCATTAGTGCTTTAGCTTTGCTTTGTATCTTTCTTATTTCTTTTGTACAAAATTTACAATTTATTTATTTTTTATTTTTTTATTTTTGCAAGTACAACTCTTTTTCTTATAGCTTGGTTGAATTTTATATTGGCATCAAGATTTTTTTGTTCCATGGAAAAAATAATTTAACAAGTTTTGTTATTAACATTTGGTAAACCTCAAGAACTTATAGTTTGTAGTTTTGCTTGTAATACAACAAATTCTACCAAGTTTTATAATGTAAGATGAAGTTGGCATCTAGGTGTATACAAATCTTTGTCGGAATGTTAAGCCAAAGTACTGAATTTTCCTGAAGTTGAACTCAAAAGTTTCAAAATCTTAAGTCAAAGTGCAGCATTATCTTAATTCTTCCAATGTTTTTAGTTTATAAGGAATCTGAAGTAATCTTCTTTTTTCTCTATTTTGTTAATGATAAAATCCATTAAGTGATTTTTTTAGTATATCAATCCATTGATATATACATGGAATAAACTCAACTTTGATACTTTGATCATATATCTTTTCTCTTATATAATAATGTCATAATTCTATCTATGTTGTTATTGTTGTTATTGTTGTTTTGTTTTTGTTTTTGTTTTTGTTTTGTTTTGTTTTGTTTTGTTTTTTTTTTTTTTTTGTATTTGTAGTTCTTCAAGTAGTCTTTGAAGATAACAAATTTCCCTTACAGCCTTGGATGAAGTCCTATATTTTGCTTCAATTGTTGACAGTTCCATAATTTCTTGTAAATTACTAGTTTAATGGATAGTTGATGATCCAAGTTTATGTAAGATCCTAATTACTGATTTTCAAGAATTTTTATCTTGACCAAAGTTTACATTTGCAAAAACCTATAGTTCTCTTTTATCATGAGCTCAAACAATATTCTATAATTCATTGTTCTTTTAAGACATCTTAAAATATGTTAAGTTGCCATAAGATGTCTTTTTTGTAGTTGTGTTAATATTTTTATAATCATTTCTTGTCAATAATAAGTTATTAATACATAAAATTAGTAATATATATATATATATATATATATATATATATAAAATATAAATTATGATCTTTATTGCTCTTATTGAGATTTTGTTCCTTCAAATAA